GGGGGGGGGGGGGGGGGGGGATTTCGTTCGCGAAATCACGTTTCTTCAAGCGGGCTGCTTCCTCCCTCCCGGAGACGCTCTTTTCAATAAAAGTGTCACCGAGAAAATAAAATAAACGCTCTCGTCGATTCTCCGATAATTACTGCCATTCGCACGTCGCGCTAATTCGCCGCGCGGAATATAAAATTTTCCCATTTTCCTCGCTGCCACTGCGGCCCGCGAATGGAGCGGATTGTGCGACGGCGGCTCCTCGAGCCCGCGATTCTGTTTTCCCCCTCTCTCGACTTCACCGGCGCGCCCATGGAAATTGGAAATTCCCGCGGCCGGAACGGCGCGACCGATTAACGACCAGTGCGGAAATTGCACCGCGGGTTGCGCGTTTTCTTCCGCCCATTCCTCTCTTCCGTTTTGTGCAACGTATACTTCACAATATTCCTGTATCACATCGGTTGACCTTCAATCTTGGTAACAGACGGACCTGTATCGCCTCTCGTGGATCAATTCTCGCCATTTGATTTCAACGTACCAGACCTCTGAGACCAAAGTTGGGTTAGTTGAACATAAATTCTTAAAGGCCTAAGAAACCTATGATGTTATGTTCGAATAGCTGACCAGCATTAGATCTCACAGACTCGTAACGTCCTTAAAGCGCTTTCATTCTTGAAAGATTCGCACGGATCTTGTTTTCCTTTTCTTTTCGTCAGGCTAGGCTTCGGTTAGGCTTCAGTTAAAATGAACCTTCAATAAGAAGTTTTTCTGTATCAACTCCGGATCGTGAAACTTAAATCAGTGTTACTCTGTCACTAATCACTCGACTCATAGACTACGAATGAAAGATTGTACATTCTTTACATCTCTTTTATTTATTACAAATAAAGTGGCAAAACTCAAAAGATGTATTGCTAATTCTTAATTAAAAAATACAAAATCGTACAAAATTAACTTTTGCTTTCTTTGCAGACGTTAAGAGTGCTTCCCGCGAATAGCCTTGTATTTTTGAGCCTTTTCTTTTTGTTGCGCAATACCGAGAAATATCGGTGTGAAAACCGGCGTATTTTCGGCATCGGTTTCAATTCCTGATTTAATTCCTCGCTCTTTATCCCTCTCATTGCGACTGAGTCCTGATACTTTCCGATATCGCGAAGGTGCGGCGCCCAGGCAATATTTGGACTGCCAGCCGTCGAGGGCGGCGGATCATCCGCTTACGGCCGCAGTGCGGCTTCGGTCTTAGCAACTATGCGTAGTCCCTGCACGTAGTAACCCCGGTAGACCGTCGTGTAATCGAATAATAGCGTGCTAGCAGCCTGCAATAAGTGCTCCCCCGTCGATAGATCTCGAGCACGCCTGGGCTGTTCAAGCTCGCGCGGGGCGGGTTCGCGCGCGCAAACACAGAGAAAAAGGTGTTCCTTTAGGATTTCTATTCGTTTCGCGAAAGTTTGCCTCATAGAAACAACATATACGATATATTATTTGAGTACAAATTTTATCGTCTCATTCAAGAAAACTCGATTGTTTGAACGGAAAGAACGCTACCGTCTGAAATAATATCTTCCAACCGAATAAAATATCACTCGGTTACAATAAGTATGTAAAATGAAAGGAATAATTTTCTCAGAAGAAAATCATCTTTCGTTTCGAACAAATTTTTTCATTCAACATAAAGATACGTATTCGTTGGGAAGTCTAACAATCGTATTTGTTAATCGGGAGATTAGTTTCTTCAAGCATGGCAACGATGAAGTTTGTTTGGATGCGATAAAATTGATGAGACTTGGAGAAATCCTTCTCTCAGCGAAGGAAGGGTGAAACCCGCTTTGTCTCGCGTAAGGCCGACGATTGGACGATTGAATCGCGGCGCGTGGCGCGAAATCTACCCTCGCGCGTGCGATCGACGTTATCGGCGCCATTCATTAGCACCGCGCGCGTCGAATGAGAAGAAAAGCGCGGGACGACTGGAACACACGTCACGTGATGCAAATCCGCCTCCTTCCTACATTTCTATTGAATCGCAGCGCGAAGTGCAATAATTAATTTTACCGGTGACTCGGTGCGACGCGGAATAAACGTGTGAAAACATCTCGAGATGATACACGCAACATTCCCGAGGAGGTGCCGGATTCGCGTCACTCGGGCGACCTCGGGCGGAAAGATGAGAGGCGGTCTCGTTTTTAAAATCCCCTCTCGGGAAAACGGGGAGAGCTCGAAAATCCGAGGAGAGCTCTTTTAATTTCCGGCTCTCCCTCTCTCTCTCTCTCTCTCTCTCTCTTTCCATCAGGCGCTCTTCTCTTTACATCCCGCGCTATTGTGCCAACCGTCCGTGGGGAATTTATTCCAGGATATGTGGAATTTTCTCGGGGGTGGCTCGCGACCCTGGCGAATTGAATTTGCGTTCGCATGACTTCTCCCGTGCTTAAAATCACTTGAATAACGCATTCCGCAAGCACAACGGCGGATCCCATTCGGGACGTCTTGCGTACACGCGGATAGCGGGTTGTCGGGGTCTCTTTGAGACTCGCAAGATGCGCGAGAAATCGAACGTTCGGAGAACACGGTTGCACGGGGAACAGAGATAGAAATAGACAGAGACAGAAAGAGAGAGAGAGAGAGAGAGAAAAGGAGAACGGGGAAGAATATAAGCGGATAAAGTCGTACCTTCAGGGATGCCATGTCGGACACGGATCGATGCGTCTGAATGGTCTCCAACTGATCCAAACACCAGTCTAGTTCCTCTATCGTTTCCACAGCCAGCTTCATGAAGGGCTCCTCTGTAAACGGGAATAGATGCAACATTTAATGCCGTGAGATCGTTACTCGCGCCCCGACGAGAACAATAAGTCAACGCGGGAAGATTTTATCCGGCGGAATCAAATTCGCGCTCCTCGAAAAAGAAACCCCGGAGCTCTACCGATCATTTGTTACCCTGTAATCTCGAAGCCCGGTAAAATTCCGTGAAAATTTTCAGAAACGTTACGGACATTTCGTGAAAGAAAAATGAGGGGACAAACGACCGCACGTTAAAGAGGGTAGAAAAGGTTCGACGTTTCGAGAAAATCGATTTCCTTGCGTTTTAAAGTAGATTCTTTAGAAACATTTCACTGAATTTAGTGAGTCAAAAAGTTCGGCAAATTCAGTTCGGGAGAGCAGAAAATGATGAATGAAAATGAACCGATGCGCGTCTCACCGGCGGTTATGCAGTTGCATCGCGGCGCACAATTGATAGGATATATAAGGAAGGATAGGATTGGATTAGAGTTATATAATAATAAAGAAGGATAGGATTGGATTAGAGTTATATAAGAACAAAGCGGCACTTCGCCACGATGTTGAAAGTGCGATAAAGCCGGCCTTTGATGCCCTAAGGATGACCTATTATTTTATTTTATAAGTTATTGCAAAAAGCATTTTTCAGCGAACTCCTGTTTCCTCGCTGACATTTTGTTAATCTTCACCGGATCTTTTTTCTTTCAGTTTCTACAGAAAGTTCCACAGAAAATCGATATTCTCTCGAACGGAAACCTTTAGAAATAGTATCGTTTGCCGATATACATCGCGGAATGAATTCGGCTGCAGCACCTCTATTCGTTAATATTTTTTAACTTCGTGAGTATATTTTTACAATTAATGTACATATAGTATAAATATATATTTTTATAGTTAATACATACTATAAATAGTTTACAAAAGAATTTTACATTCAATTAATTCGCGTGCCTGTGGAAATGAGTTGAATTTCACCGACTTTTCGAGAGCCCAAACCTTTCTACCTCCTTCAAGTTTTCCTCCATCCCGGCAAGTTAGTTCTTCGCGCGGTCTCTGTTTCCCGAAATGTCGGGTTCGTCTTTCACTAACGGTGTCTTCTTACCGTTGCCCACACTTACGCTCACGATTTCATTATCAGATCTTTGTTGGAATGTGTAGAATTCTAGATTGTGCACAGAGAAAAAGATTTCTTTCGATTTAATATTTCTATTTATTTGACTTGACAATTTGTTTCATAGAAACAACACACGCGAAATATTATTTGTTTGAGTAAAAATTTTATCGTCTCATCCAAGAAAACTCGATTATTTAACGGAAAGAACGTTATTATTTGAAGTAATATCTTTTAAGCAAATAAAATATTGTTCGGCCATAATAAATATATAAGATGAAACAAATAGTTTCCTTACAAGAAAATTGTCTTTCGTTTCGGACAAATTGTTTATTTAAGACGATATTCGTTGAAGGGTCTAACAATCGTACTTACTAATCGAAACATTAGTTTCTTTGGAGCATGCCAGCGGTGAAATTTGTTTGGATGCAATAAAATTGATTAGATTTGAAGAAATCTTTTTCTCAGTGTGTATGCGCGCGCGCAACAAAAGAATCGTGAAGACCGCAACGGGGCGCAATCTCGAAAATTCGCGAGAGAAACAGCTGAACGCGCGTATCCAAAGGTCGTGATAATAAAATGCGTTCTTTAACGAAAGAACGTGACCCGGATGTAAAATCGCCGCTGCAAAGAAAGTCGACGTGGCGGCGTGCGAAGAAGCTGCGAGTTTGCGGATTCGGTAAAATTTTAATGAAATGTTGGGAATAAAAGTGGCCCCACGGAGAGATCGGAGCATCCGCCGGGGAGTAACGCGCGCGCGCGCGCGCGCGCGTGTGTGTGTGTGTGTGTGTGTGTGTGTGCGGGAAATCCCCGGAATGGACGGATGAAAATTATTCAAATGTGCGACGGTGATCAATGTTCAATAAATACGCGTGGCTGCGCACAGCTGCGCGCGCACCAGCGATAAACGGCGCGAATAAAAATACAGAGAAATCGTCTGGCACTGAAGCGATTAAGTTCGCCCGAGAAAACAAATAATTAACTAAAGCGTATTAAATTCTCCCGACTTTTCCCGTCCGTGCGAAATGAAGGCGCCTCGAATCTCTGACGACGTGCGAAGCGGAGTCCCGCGCGCGCGAATGTTCATCGGCGGATCCGCCTGGGGCGATGGTGGCGATCGGAAAATACGCCATTTGTTTTTACATGAGATGCAACGTTAATAGCTTCAGATTTCTTTACCTCCTGGCGCCAAAATCCGCGGCTGTGGCGTACTGCTGCCCTGTTGGCCGCTGCTCCTTCGAGATCTGTAAGAGACAAATCGGGGATCGATTAGAGGTCGAGTTATGCGGGACAACCGTGTATACGGAAAAAAAAATTAGTATCAACTCAACATTTATATATTGTAGTCGATAGGATCATTGTTTCGTATAGAAGCAAGAATATAGAATCTTTTTATACAAATTTAATGATCTTACATCTCGACAATATTATAATTTTATTGCAATATTATGATAGTTCGCAAAAGAACACAACATGATCGTTTTAAAAATTCTTTTATTTGGACGATTTTAAATAATTCTATCGCAAAGACAAATGCATCATTTTGACCTCTATACCTCTATATTTGTATCAAATTACATTAAACTTTTTCTAACAATCCTGCAAGCGCACAATATTATTTAATATTAAGAAATATTCTGGGGCATATTCTTAGAATATTAGACGTAATATTCTAATAATATTCTAGTAATTTAATTTTTTTATATTAAGTAATATTTCGGGAATATTAATAGATGGTTATATGTTCACTCCTAATAATATTTAAAAAATAATGTTATTTAATGTTATTGTAATACATATTTTTTAAATATTTAACTCTATGTATATATATAATATAGATAATTGCAGTTTTTTATTTCAAATGTAATATCAATTGTATTATTATACAAATAAAGTCAAAATAATTTAATATAAAAATACGTTTTACACTAAAGAAATTACTAAAATACTAAATTATTACAATAAAATATAAATAAATAAATAAATAAATAAAGAAGTAAATATGTATATATAATTTTACATATTATTATTATTATTTTTTTAATATTCTAAGAACATTCTTTTATAATATTAAAAAATATTACACAACATTCTCAGAATATTATAAGAATTTTACTTTAATATTTAATAATATTCATACAAAATTCTAGGAATATTATGCGCTTATAGGAAATAGGGAAAAAGTATCATAATCCTTGATCGCCTGACCATAGAAAAAAAATCGATCGTGAGTTCACATATACTTACTTATTCGTCGGTACATTTGTGAGCGACAGGAAATTGTTCCTGACCGAGCGCAGAGAAGCAAGAATCTGTGCGAAGGGTGTAACGATGAGGTCCTCGCCATGGCTGCAAAAGGAAAAAGATGCGTGTTTAGTCGTCGAGGTTTCGCTCCATCCGCGGAATAATAATCGGAAGGGCAGGGGTCAACGGCTCAGCTAACGAAACTCTCGTGAAAAAATCAGCGACTCTACTTTGCCCTTTCTAAGCCGCATGCAGGCGTGACAGGCAGCACGTTACAAATGTAACGTTACAAACGCAACTTCCATTCGGTCTCCTCGCTCATACACGCTTATACATTAAATATATACACTGACACGCGCACACACATACACATAGCACACTCGCACGCTCTTGGCGCATTTTGAGCTGTGAACGCACAGAGAAGGTCGTGTATTAAAAAAGATGAACAACTCCGATCAGACATACACACATACACACGCGCGTACGCACGCGCGCACAAAGTCTGTCGGGTCTCGCGAATATGAAAGAAAAAAAACAGCCCCGATTCAATAAACATTTATATTTCTTACGTTGCAGAATAATACACTGTTTTACGTCACGCGTTTGCGGCACTCAAATAAACCGCACCCACCGACGCGGCCGCCGAGATAAAAGGCACGGATTCGCTCATTTGTCCCGAGACATCGCGCGTAGGCTTCTCGCACGTGTTCTCGCGAGCTCGATATCGTAAACGCACCCTGATTCCTCTTTTCCGTGACGAGAGAGACGTAATATATATTACGTAACACACCTGGCGATCGGCATCCGAAAAATGATGCCGGCGAATTTGAGACTTCCCTGTCAGCGCGCAACATATTCCTAGAATATCACATGAATATTATTCAATATTAAAATAATATTCTTATAATATTTTAAGAATATTATGCCATACTTTTTAGTATTATAGGAATGTTCGATTGATGTTAAATGCCCGCTTCATATAATATTCTTGGCATATGTTAAAAATATCCTTGGAATATTGAGAAGAAACTAAATAATAATAATAATATAGAAAACAATATACAAATAAAATATACATACGTGTATAATTTTTTTAGTATAAAACGTATTTTTACACGAAATTCTTGCGATTTTATTCACATAAGGCAACAATTGGTATTGCAATATATTTGAAATGAAAAACTACAATTATATACATTATATATACACATAGAGTTGAGTATTAAAAAAAAAGTGTATAATATTACAATAACATTATTTTTTTTATATTATTAAGAGCGGTCATATGACTATCTATTGATATTCCAGAAATATTACTTAATATTAAATGACATTATTAGAATATTATCAGAATATTACGTCTGATATTCTGAGAATATGCCCTGAATATGATTAAATATTAAATAATATTACGCGCTTATAAGGTTATCGCGGATGCCGTCCCCGCTCTCCAATTTCCGCTCTATCGTTATCGCCCTTTATCGCGATCGTATATAGGCAAAAGTAACGCTCTTTATTACATAGCCTCTCTCTGTCGAAGAAGAACAGTCGCGTTTATCTGGGCTCCGGGAGCTTTATCCAAACTGGCATCCGTAACGGTCCGCCATGCGTCACGGGGACTTATCGCGGCGCGGCGCGTTTTATCCGTTCTTCCCATGAGCATTCGAGCCCGGAATATCCGGGCCACTTCTCCGGTCGACTCGTTCGCCATTTGTCCCGGTGATGCTAAGCGATGTGTTCCCGATCTCGCAAGCCCGACGCCGTCGTCGCCGAGAACGAGCGCTCTCTGCGCAATCTGTAATTCGCGATATGGAATTCCATTTTTCCCACCACCGTCCCGGTATTTGTGAATTCACAAAGTCGACTTTGAACGCGTACAGAAACATCATCGGTGTGAAACCGTGGACGTACGGCGGAGGAAAGTTGCCGAGATCATATTCTACGCGGGGAAAAGAATTAGTATGGAAAATTCCGCAAGTAAATTTTGCATAAATAAAATTTTCGTTGAGAATTTACTTATAAATCCCGAATATAAGGGAATTTGACGGAAAGTATATTCTAATTGAAAATACGATACAGTCTTACAGACAGACAAGAAGAGATATATTAGAGTTTCATTCTGACAATCTGCACACGTCAATGCTTGTAACACGGAATAAACAATTCTGTTGGTGCGACTGAATTTCCCGTTGCTTGTGGACCAAACGGGAACTCGGTTGTGGGAACGGGAAGACTTTCATTGAATATTTCCACTCAGTCCGCTACAATCTATCTCAGTTGTCTCAACCGAGTTTGAATACGGCCGAATGATGACATGAAAATCTTTTGGCGATGATAAATAAGATTCATTCATTTATTCCAGTCCATCGTTCTTCTTGACTTTTCAAGAAACTGTTTCTTTCGCCGCACGACTAAGGTATTCCGTCCTAAGTTATTGTCCAGCTTTAAAGTGCTTTTTAATGCTCTCCAGTGCTCCGTATTAAAAGGGCTGATGGGAAATGGTAATTAGCGCAACTCGGCGATCGAGCGTATCGCATTTGTTTCGCCGCGCGAACCCGCCGCGGGTTTCGTGCACGCGCGCGCAAATGTGCACATGCGCGATAAGCGAGATTACAGAGGATTTCCCGTCGGACAGGTCTTCCCCGGATGAAGCCCGCATGGAGTCCTCGTGGACGACGGATAATTCGCGATATCTCCCGGCGACAACGACGCTTTAATAACTACAACTACGTATCGTCTGTTATGCGTGTACGTACAGGGGATTCCGCGGGAGCGCTTGTATCTTCTGTAATCTCTCGTGTCTCGACAAGAAGGATGCAAGCGGACCCCCCGAAGCGATATAATAGTCCACGGCGCTTGCACGCGAGAAAACATCGCCAGTGTGACTAGTTTCCGCTGCTTGGCGGATGCCAGACGAAAATTCGGTTGTACACGCAGAAAAATATACCACTACCGAGCGATTGTTCAGTTTATTTTTCTTCTTTTAAGTAATGGTTATCTTTAACGAAGAATATTTTCTCAATAACAGTCCCAAGGTATCGCTGAGATATTAGTGTCGCGTTTTCCGCAAGGAGGTCCACTCATAAATTCAACATTTATCAAGCAAAATTATGTTTCTATACATTTATTTCTCTATCTAAATATGAAATGTTAATTTGAAATAAAATTGAGACATATGTAGATATACAATATTACAAATATGAAAATATAATTTTTTATATTTTTTTTTATTTTATATGAAAAAATAATTTTTTTAAATTTTTTTATTTAATTTTTTTAAATTTTTTCTTATTAATGCATTAATCTGTTTTTATTTATTAGTTGATATAATGAAGATGCACAGATAATATAAAGAGAAGTATGAGTATTCAAATATGTGATATGTATTTCGAGTATTACCATAAGTTACGAACTTCACATCGTTGTATTTTCAGAACAAAACAGTCAATAATTCTGAATTTTATGTCATTATAAAGTTTGCACATTGTAGTCTTTAATACCATAGTAGTTTTTCGTGAAAATCTTGTTTTTAGTTTAAAAGATATTAACACGTTCGCTTGCTAACTACGAGTATACGAGTACAATTCGTTTCACCGCTCTCGTCGAAGTACTCTTCGCAAGCCGCTGCATGTGTCATAATCGATCACATACTTGAAGAAAGAAATTCTTTCCTTTCTCGCTCTGTTGGGAGAAAATTCGCTGCGGGTTCATTTCGCGTTATTTCTCCTCTGCGACCGCTCGCGCGTCGAAATTATGGCTCTTTATTAAACGACCTTTAACTTTATAACACAGCAAAAGCTAAGATGGCATAATAAATTCAGTTTCAATTCTAATAACATAATTTACTCCCTCTTTGACTCCGATAATGTCTTAAATTCCGGTTCCGCTGTTTCAGCGTCGAAATAGATTAGTTCCAAGGTAGCTTTGAAATTAAATCGGTGGAATGAAAAATTCAAGAGAAAAGTTGGCAAGTGTCGATATCATTAAATTAAGTTTTTATTCGTCTGTGGACCATCTAAGTAAGCGTAGACTATTCTTGAGAGCGTGAAAATTTCGCATCAAGATCTCGATTCGGGTTGTGAAGGAAAAATACATCATCATTGGCGAAATTGCGTGCCGACGGAAAGAAGAATTCCGCGTACGACATAATCAACGTGCGATCGTTATTCGCGCACTTCCTCTATTCTGCCAATTTCTCGCGCGATGGAGGGAAAATTGCGTCACTTCGTTGAGAAAAATATCGCCGGACGCTCGTGAAATTGAGTAATTTCGGCAGTTACCTCCTTAATCGCGTCGCTACGGATGGCTCTCGATGGAAAAAGGAGACTTCGCCCGGGGAACCGTGTAAACATCGCCATCGGACAATTACAATCAAGCTTGTTTGCGCCGGATAATACGGGAAACGTTGGGTGAATTGCGCGACTCTCGCCCGAACAAGAGGCGGATTACAAATAATAACGAGCGGCTCGACCTTACGTCGCGCTCGACGCGGATCGTACCCCTTAATTTATCGCTGACATTGAAATTGGGTCGAATTTATTCACGTTCATTGAAATTAGTCGCGAACGTACACGAGAAAGGAAAGACGCTGCGTTCAAGCGAATATTTCCTAAGAAGTCGGAATAATTATTTAGAATCGGGGTAAATATTTTATCTGGATTAAGCAAATATCACTTTACAGAAAAAGTGTATCAGAATCAAGTAAATACTCTTGTTGTATCTATATATTAGGTCTAACGGAAAGTTCTGTCTGTTTTCGAATTAAAAGAAAATAATACATTTTCAGTGCATTTATTAATATTTACCGAATAATATAATTTCCATGGTAAATGGAAAATAATACAATGGTGAAAAGAGGCAGCCATATATGTTTCAAACGAACGCATTCATAACTTAATATTATAAAATATACATTACTTACGTAATTAACTTTACGCTACTTTTTAGCCTCTTAAATCGAGTAATGTTTCTAACAATTTAAATATGTTTTAACAGCTTTTAGTATAAATATTTACTTGAACGCTGTAATACCTTAAATCTTTAATGAATTCTTGAATGTAAGTGTAAAATGCTTCTAAATTTAGGAGGGTATTTATTAAATTTAT